TCCTTCTCTTTGGTAGTCGGGGGGTGGAGGCAAGAGTTACCCGTGTGACCTATCCTTCCGCATTGAAAACAAATAACTGGCAGGTTTTCATAGACCACGCGCTGAGTCTTCCCGTTAATGGCGAAGCTAACGCATAGTGGCTTAGTCAAATCGACTGTTACAGCAAGTCGAGCATATTTGCCTCGGGTTAGGGCTGCTGTTTGCTGGTCTATCTTGACCACCTTCCCGAAAATCCGGCCAATATTACGGAAGATCTTTTTATGGTACAAATGAGCCGGCATTCCAGGGAGACGAATCCAGGCAACCGTTGTTGATAACTCCTCTTTCGTCGCATCAAAGTCTAGGGTCCAAGGCTGCACGTGCATATAACTATTCCCCACAACATATGGCCCTCCAGTGAGCACCCTGACCGTATCGTCGTTATTTTGGAAGTGAACTAGGTAAAATCCACTCTCGAGATCCATCATGTTGCATCCAGCCATAAAGGGCCACATTTTAGTAAGGCGGTTGTAGAGGGATGCCATGGAGAGCGACTCGTCGAAAGGTTTCAAGACTACTGCATTTTGCCACTTCTTATTGATCTGCTCAATAAACCGCTGCGCGATTTTTATTTTCGGCACAGGGCATGAGAGGTCTACGACCACGTCCTCTTCGATACCATCTTCGACGCCATCATCATCCGAGTTCAGATCCTCATGGTTTCTGTGTTTGTTAACCATGTCTCGGAATGACCACTTCTGTATTACTGGTGCCTGAGTAGTCGTCGGTTGGGCCTGTAGATTTGAAGATGGCTGATGTTCCAGAGAATCTCCGGATCGCTTACCCGTGCTCGATTTTTTGGTTGCCGGCAAAGCGTTCCGATCCAGCAGTGGGAATTCTTCATCGTGTGTGAGGGTCTGAAAATTAACTCCTGGGTCAACGGTTTCCGATCCGTCCGTCTGCGTGTAGAGAGCGTTGGGAGCGTTGTGAGCGTTTTCGGCCATAACAAAAGTTTAGATAATTTATAGTCATGACAGTGTTGTTTTGTATGTTATTGACAATTTTTTTTGGCTATTTTGGTTATTGATAGTAATGTTTAGAATGATGACAGTATTTTAGGCTATCTGTGGCTATTGATAGTAGGGATAATAGTGTTTCGAAGGTTATATTTTTGGAGATAGATGTGCTGATACTTGAGTGGCTGGAATGTTGATATTTTGAAGATGTTATTGTAGTTGAGGTTTGATCTAGTTAGTAGTTATGTTGCTGGTTTTAGTGCTTGTTTCCTTTTGGTTTTGACTTGTTGTTTCCAGTTTGAGAACATTAAGGATTACAATAACCAAAAAATTACTTGAGAACAATAACCAAAAATTACTTGAGAACAATAAGGATTACAATAACCAAAAAATACTTGAGAACAATAACAAAAAATTACTTGAGAACAATAAGCAAAAATGACTTGAGAACAATAAGGATTACAATAACCAAAAATTACTTGTTTCATATCATCTAAAATTACTTGAGAACAATAACAGCCCCAAAAGGATTACAATAACCAAAATAAGCAATCCATTGCTAAATTTCTTCTTAATTTTCTCCATCTTTGACTGCATCTCCTTCAGCATTGTTGCGACTTCGACATTTTCATTTGTTAGCTTTGCTCCGGTTGATTGAACTTCATCATCATCATCTTCATAACAAACTTCATCTTCGTGGATTTCATTTGACTTCACCCAATTCACGGAGGCAAGTTTAAGCCAAGCAAAGAAACGACATTTGTTGTACGGACAATTGCAAAATAGTTTGCCAACAGTTTCTTTTGTAGGACCAACGACCCGAATGTGAGCAAATGTATTGCAATAACACTTAGGGTGCTTATACCTTAGATCCAAACTCTCATTCTTTGACATCTTTGATTTTTGGGAAGTAGACATCTTTAACCTACAAAAAAAAAAAATAATAATAATATATAAAATGGAGAAAAAAACAACCCTAATTTCCAAATTCGAAAGACCCAAATCTTCAACCAATGCATCAATATCACAGAATTTCGAACCCAAATCTTCAACCTATGCATCAATATCATAGAAATTTGAAAAAAAAAAATGGAGAAAACAACCCTAATTTCGTGATGCATGGTTCTGTGATATCACAGAAAGGCCCAAATTCCCCAAATAAAATGGAGAAAACAACCCTAATTTCCAAATTTGAAAAAAAAAATGGAGAAAACAACCCTAATTTCAAAATTCGAAAAGAAAAAATGGAGAAGGGAGTACGTACCTTCAATATCTTCGTGCTGCGATTTTTTTCCTGTGTGCTACGTACAAATTTAGTGCGAATTTAGTGCTGACCAACGCACCATGAAGATCTGGGATTTATTTAGTGTGACGTACGAATTTAGTGTGAGATTGGGGAAGAAGGTGAACATTTTAATGGCTGATTTTAAGGGTAAAATAGTCATTTCCGCGACTTTGGGGTGAAAGAATGAAGCAAAAGCCGCACAGCACGTGCGTGCACAACACTTCCGTCATCTTAGACGTTTTAGGGTGTTTCGCGCATGCGAAACTACAATATAAGGGGGTTTGATGCATTTTTTAAAATAGAGGGGGACAATCCGCAGATTTAGTATATTACAGGGGGGTTTGGTGCATTTTACCCATCTATTACTAGATGTGTGTATGAAAATTTAGATTTCATTCCATTATGTACTGTAACTAATGTGTGCATGGACAAACCAATAGAACATCTTATTTTCAATGAAGGCGATTTATTTTATATTTACCTTTGTATCCGTTTTACTTTGTTGTGAATCTGTCATCTTTTAGATCATTCGAATCATGTCTCATCATCCTCGGCAATGAAATTCAGACAAATATTTATGTTAGATACATAGTTTATTAACATAAATGCAGGATTAATAAGATGAGTCTGTTTGTATACATAATATTTGAAATCATAAAAATAATATACATTCAATAAATGACTTAGGCTACCTGTTATTCGTGTAAATTTTCTCCAATTTGGCTTCTGGTGTCTATACATTTTTCTTCTGCTGCTCGAGTCGAAAACCTCAAATTTAACAACACAAAAAGGTTAGTACCAATAAACCATATCAATTCATTATACTACATGCTAAATATTTGATGAAATTTTAGAAACAAGGAGACTTGTCTGTCTGATTCAATGTTGCTCTCTTATGTGACATAGGTTTACATCTCAACTTAGTAGATCATCATTTCAACTCCACCTCATACATTAAGAATGATACATTTGATGTCAGTAATATATCATGATATGATATTGAATAAGAACTTTGGATAATAGGTTTGCACTAAAATGTGGAGAACACGAGGAATCTATAGATATATGTTAGTAATTTGTTTAAGAACACGCACCAATACCGCGATTTTGAAAACTAGTTAGTAATTCACACGCTATCAATGTTACACAAACACATACTCTTTTGATGTGCACAGTCTTATGCAATCACAGAAGTAGAAAATATATTGTTATAGAAATTATAACAACAACAACAACATAGTCTTTTAGTCCCAAACAAGTTGGGGTAGGCTAAATATGAAACCCAAGAGAACCAATGATAAAAGAAACACAAAAATGGCTCAAAACAAAAGGAAGAGATTAGAGCAAAAGAGAAATGAGCAAAAGTCACGGTTCTCCCCGCTCTTGTGCCGATAGAAGCTGAACCGTGTCGTATGCTCTCCAATATGAAATGGATACTGAGCAAGGATGCACTCAAACATGTCTTGCGCCTTGATATACCTTATCTTGAGATGATTGAGCATAACGAAAGGTGCAAATGGGATTTTGATGAGACAGTGACCGTGATTGAGGGTGGGTTGCTATACATTCATGAGGAGTCAGCTCCACGGAGGAAAGATCCAGTGAAGCATCCAACATCGGAGAGTGGGAATTTCGTCAAGCATGACATGGTGAGATTTGTGGCTCCCTTGAGGCCACCTCGGAAGCCGCCATGGATCCTGTGATGAAAGAGAGCAATAAGTCGGGCCAACGACAATAATAAGAGGCGCTTGTTGGGAGGCAACCCAATGGTGTGCATGGTTCAGCGACTTTCCTCTGCATTGACTAAGGTGAACTCGTTTCTTTTACCTCCGCTTTCGTTCTTTTGTGTTTATTTAAGTGTCAATGATATATGCAAACTCTAAGTTTGGGGAGGTGGTTTCTTTGTGAGCATTCATGTTTATTATGTGATTATATTTTTGCCCCTTAGAGTTTGAGTCTTAGATTGAATATTTGCTTGTGCGTGAGTATGAGATTACATGTACGTGGCATTTTGCGATGATGATATGAGAGTCGGTTTAGATCTATTGTGCTAGTTCAAATGGCTTGAGTTGATTTTATTTGGTTAAATTCTTAAGGTGTTTTTATTTTGGGGACAAAGGCATGATGGTTGATATTTTTGTGATTTATTTATGGTGAGTTGGTTTTGAGACGATTTGTGTTGTTAAGATGTGCTTGTGATTGCTTTAATCAATGTTGATTAAGTTTGGGGACTTGAAGTTGGAAGTTGAGGTTTCTATGTCTCATAGTCGAAAAAAAAAAGAATAATGAGGATGGAGGAATAATTGATGGAGTTGAAAAGCCATTGGCAAAAAAAAAAGTCATGGGCTGTAACAGCTGCCAATCCGTGGGGGCTCTAGTGTATAATTTCAATAATTACCGTATCTAGACGAGCACGAAAGGCTAAAACCTATGGGTTGTGACGGAGCTGTCGTTCCCTACTTCGAAAAAAAAGAGAGAGAATAAAACAAAAAAAGAGAAAAAAAAAAAAGAAAAATGGAGAATGAGACGTTTAGACTTCGGCTAGAAATTGAAAGAAACTAGACTTGTTAGAAAAGAGAGGGGTGTCGTGAGTTGCATTGATCGGTACATTCGTTATAGAAATTGACAAATTATGGTGGTCACTTGGATTGATGCTTGATTGTTTGAGTTCCTAGAATGATTTCATCTTGAGCCCAGACAAATTGATTTGAGTTGTTTGAACTATGCACTTATATGAGAAGTGTGAGGCCTTGAGCAAATATTCTACGTACTTGTTTTCTTGTCCATGTACGTGCTTTTAGTTCTAAGTTGCTTGGGGACAAGCAACGGTTTAAGTTTGGGGAGATTTGATAGGTCGAAAAATGTGCATGTTTTATATATTAAATGGTGTATTTTTATACATTAATTTTATTCGCACATTTATATTTTTCGACTTGTTTATTTATTAGATGGATTTGGTACTTTGATATTTTTATGTCTTATTTTTAGGATATTGGAGGATTTTTATTGGCGGCGTTGCACCGAACGAGAATTGAGCAGGCAGTGCGGGGAAGCCCCATTCTCGACCGCGTACCTGCACATTTTCTGCTCATATGTACAAAAAAGGCCCAATATTTAATAAACGTTAAATTATTTGGGCTGATTTGGTGATTTGGATTCCACAAATAAAGAAGCACACATTCACAGGGAGAGGATTTATTTTTGGTGGGCTAAGCACTTCAATTAGATGGGAAATAATTTCCAAAAGCCACGCCAACAGAGAACAAATAAAAGTCAAGACACACAACCCATTGAGACATTCGGGAATTAGTTTTGGAGCCGCCATATACCTGGGGGAAGAAATATTCACGCGAAACAGAGGAGAGAACAGAGTCGCGGCACAGGACAATACAGATACGAGGAAGCTGACGATCGCGGAGGGAGGCCGCACCCACACACGAAATGGGATAATTCTATTCATTTTCTTTTATTCTTTATTATGTTAGGCTAGTTTTTCTTTCTAGTTTCGGGGAAGTCGAACCCTACGACTTGACGATGTTTGATTGATTTCCTTGGTTGATTATTGAGTTATCTTTTTGGAATTTCTTGTGTTATTTTGAATAATTCACCATGATGTGTTGAGTCTTATTTAGATTGAGCACCCTAATTAGGCTTTACATATCTACACCTGAATTCGGCCTTCAATCCGTAATTGTTGATGTGTTTAATTCGCAAGTGGTATCCGGAAGATGGTAACTACCGGGGATAACACGGCCTAATTAAGTGAACGAATGTGTCACTACTTAGTCTAGCCTATTTTTCTAAATCGTAAAGCGGCTAATTGAATTAAATTTAGGAAGCATTTCCTAGACTGTTCAAGAGGTCAGATTTAATCGTAGAGTGTCTCGCGGTTACATTAAAAATAAGGAAAAATTCGGGTAACAGACCGTGTCGTTGCCTAGGGCAAGTAATTTCATAAGATAACAAGATTTGATACCAAAGTTGATTAGACGAGTCAGTCGAGGGTGTAGACGGAACCGTGAACTAGAAATTTCTCTTATTTATTTTATTTTTATTTTTATTTCGTTTGTTTAGATTTTATTTGTTTCATTAAAATTTCAATTAGTTTAGTTACTAAATCCAATCCCCCCTTTACCGCTTTTATTATTCAACTAATACAAGAATATCACAACTTGATTCACACTCTCTATGGGTTCGACCCTTACTCGTCACTACTACTAGTTAGTAGAGATTAGTAAAAGAAAAATATAAATTTTAATTTTGCTGCATTGCGACGCGCGGTCAAATTTTGTAATCTCCCCAAACATAAACTGTTGATTGTCCTCAAGCAACTTAGAACTATAAGCACATAGATGGACAAGAAAACAAGTACGTAGAACTTTACTCAGGGCCTCACAATTTCACATAAGTGCATAGTTCAAACAACTCATTAGTTTATTCGGACTCAAGACGAATCCATTTTAAGAACTCAAACAATCAAGTATCAATTCAAGTGACCATCATAGTTTATCAATCTTTATAGCGAATGCACCGATCAATGCAACTCATGACACCCCTCTCTTTGCTAACAAGTCCAGTTTCTTTCCGTTTCTAGCCAAAGTCTAAATGTCTCATTCTCTATTTTTTTCGTTTTCTCTTTTTTTTTTTTGAGTAGGGAACGGCTGCTCCGTCACAACCCGCGGGTTTTAGCC